GTTACAAAAGCATGTCAACCTCACACAAATCTCCCAGAGAACAGAAAAGGAAATAAGTCTTTCATTTTATGATGCTAAGAGGACCTTGATTTCAAAACTAGGTTACTAGTTTTCAAAAAACTGAAAAGCCCTCGAATACATTAAGGTTAAAGAACATCCTACTAAAGAATGGATGGGTTAACTAGGGAGTTAAAGAAGAATTTTTAAAAAAAAAATGCATGGAAGCAAATGAAAATGAACACACAGCAGTCCAAAATGTGTGGCATGCAGCAAAGGTAGTCCTAAGAGGTAAGTATATTCATGTCCTTTGCCCATTTCTTCACTGGATTATTTATTTTTTGGTGTTTAGTTTGATAAGTTTTTATAGATTTTGGATGCTAACCCTTTATCTGATATGTCATTTGCAAACATCTCCTTCCATTACGTTGGTTGCCTTTTAGTTTTGCTTGTTGTTTCCTTCACTGTGCAGAAGCTTTTTATCTCAATGAGATCCCTACTGTTTTGTTTCCCTTGCCTCCAGAGACATGTTGGGTAAAAAGTTGCTGGTAGAATTCTCCTGGAAAGCCATCTGGCCCTGGACTCTTGCTGTTGGGAGACTTTTGAGTACTGACTCAATTTCTTTACTGGTTATGGATCTGTTCAAGTTTTCTATTTCTTCTTGTTTCAGGGCTTTTTTTTTTTTAATACTTTATTGTCAAGTTGGTTTCCATATAACACCCAGTGCTCATCCCCACAAGTGGGGATGCCCATCACCCCCCTTCTCCTCTTCCCCACCCCCATCAGCCCTCAATTTGTTCTCGGAATTCAAGAGTCTCTCATAATTTGCCTCCCTCCCTCTCCCCAACTATTTTCCCCTTCTTCTCCCACATGGTCCTCTGTTAAATTCCTCCTAATCCACCTATACGTGCAAACATATGTATCTGTCCTTCTCTGTTCTTGTTTCAGTTTGGTAGTTTATATGTTTCTAGGAAATTGTGCATTTCTTCCAGATTGCCCAATTTGTTGGCATATGATTGCTCATAAGATTCTCTTTTTATTGTTTGTATTTCTGCAGTGTTGTTTCTGATCTCTCCTCTTTCATTTGTGATTTTATTTATTTGGGTACTTTCCTTTTCCTTTTTGATCAGTCTGGCTAGGGGTTTATCAATTTTGTTAATTCTTTCAAAGAATTAGCTCCTGGTTTCATTGATCTCTTCTACTGTTTTCTTGATTTCGATATCATTGATTTCTGCTCTAATCTTATTTCCCTTTTGCTAATGTTTTTGGGCTTTATTTGCTATTCTTTTTCTAGCTCTTTTAGGTAAATGTTTAGGTTGTGTATTTGACAACTTTCTTCCTTCTTAAGGAAGGCCTGGATTGCTATATACTTCCCTCTTATGACTGCCTTTGCTGCCTCCCAGAGGTTTGGGGCTGGCGTGTTGTCATTTTCACTGGCTTCCCTGTACTTTTTGATTTCCTCTTTAACTTCTTAGTTAAGCCATTTATTCTTTGGTAGGATGTTCTTTAATCTCCAAGTATTCATGGCCTTTCCAAATTTTTCCTTGTCATTGATTTCAAGTTTCATAGTGTTTTTGAGGCCCGATTTGTGTCCCTGTATGTGATCTATTCTGGAGAACGTTCCATGTGCACTAGAAAACAATGTATATTCTGCTGCTTTAGGATGAAATATTCTGAATATATCTGTTAAGTCCATCTGGTCCAGTGTGTCATTCAAAGCTATTGTCTTCCTGTTCATTTTCTGCTTAGGTGATCTGTCCATTGCTGTAAGTGGGGTGTTAAGGTCCCCTATGGTTACTGTATTACTATCAATGAGTTTCTTTATGTTTGTGATTAACTTATTTATATATATGGGTTCTGCCACATTGGGGTCATAAATATTTATAATTATTAGATCTTTTTGGTGGATATACGCCTAAATTATAATATAATGCCCTTCTTCATCTCTTGTTACAGTCTTTATTTTAAAATCTAGTTTGTCTGACATAAGTATAGCTACTCCAATTTTCTTTTGATGATCATTGGCATGATAGATGGTTCTCCATCCCTTTACTTTCAATCTGCAGGTGTTTTAGCTCTAAAATGAGTCTCTTATAAGCAGCTATAGATGGGTTTTGTTTTCTTATCCATCCTGATACCCTATGTCTTTTGATTGGAGCATTTAGTCCATTGACACTTAGAGTAAGTACTGAAAGATATGAATTTAGTGCCACTGTGGTGCCTGTAGATTTGGTGTTTCTGGCGATGTTCTTTGGGCCTTTCTAGTCTTTGTTGCTTTTGGTCTTTTTGGTTTTGTTTCATCTTTTCTCCACGCATAGATTCCCTCTTAAAATTTCTTGCAGGGCTGGTTTAGTGGTTGTGAACTCCTTTTTGTTTGTCTGGGAAACTCTTTATTTCTCCTTCTGTTTCAAATGACAGTCTTGCTGGATAAAGAATTTTTAGTTGCATATTTTTCCAATTCAGCATGTGAATTTAGCCTGCCACTCCTTTCTGGCCTGCCAAGATTCTGTGGATAGGTCTGATGCAAACCTGATCTGTTTTCCCTTAAAGGTTAAAGACTTTTTTGCCCTTGCTGCTTTCAGAATTCTTTCCTTGTCTGTATATTTTGTGAATTTGACTATGATATGCCTTGGTGATGGTCGGGTGTTCTTGAATCTAATGGGAGTTCTCTGTCCTTCTTGGATTTTGATGTCTGTGTCCTTCCCCAGAGTAGGAAAGTTTTCTTTTATAATTTGCTCACATAAACCTTCTGCCCCCTTTTCTGTCTCTTCATCTTCTGGGGCTCCTATGATTCGGATGTTATTCCTTTTAATAAGACCTTGAGTTCTCTAAGTCTTGTATCATTCTCTTTTGCCTTTGTTTTCCTCTTTTTTTTCGCTTCATTATTCTCCTTAATTGTGTCTTCTATATCGCTGATTTGCTGCTCTGTTTCATCCATCCTTGTCATGGCATCCATTTGAGATTGCATCTCAGTTATGGCACTTTTTAATTTCGTCCTGACTAGATTTTGCTTTTTTTATTTCCACAGAAGGGGATTATATGCTTTTTCCAACCCCAGATAAGTATTTTTACCATGGTGGTTCTAAATTCTAGTTCAGACATCTTGCTTAGATCCGTGTTGATTAAGCCCCTGGCTGTTATCTTGCTGGTTTTTCTTTTGGGGTCAACTCCTGCTGAGTTCTGTGGCTCAAGTTATGCAGATCATTGTGTTAATCCCCAGTTTCCTAGGTGTGCAACATGGTTTGGTGCTGATCTACCTGTGTTTCAGAGATGTGAGAAACCAAGGGTCTCCATGCTGCTCCACTCCATGCTCTTTCCTCTTGGGGCGTGATTCTAATATGGCAGCAAAACATTACCAGGGTACTAAAGCATAACTGAGAAAGTGTCTAAAAGAAAAATCAATTACATGTTTATTATAGCTCTTCTCAGTGAGATTACAGTGTGTAGATTGGACGAATGCTTAAACCATTTGCAATTGATAGTAGACCCTGGGGGAGCTTCATGAGAAACACAGATGGTCACAAAACTGCCTCCTAATGAGAGTGGGATACTATAACTACAAGGATCATATCCTGCCAAGAAAAGTATGCAAATAGGGAGCAGCAGTAAATTATCTTCAACAAGAGAAGAAAGGCTGACCTAATACAAATTAGCGATCATATCTGCTTTTTAAAAGTTCATTTTATGCCACTTCACTTTCACAAAATACCTACAGTAGTACCTGCTTTTGCTAACAGAAATAATCTGGAGAGATTTCACTTTTACAAAAAAAAAAAAGGCAAAAAGTAAAATAGCATTCAGCATCTCTTTTGCAGTGAACCCTCATAGAGACAGCATGCACCCTAGGAAGTGAGAGGGCGCCACCTAGCTCCTTCCCTGGGAACCACACTCAGCATCCCAGTATCATACTATCACAGCTTTGAACTGTGTCTGTGAGCATCTGTGCAGTTTCTGGATATTTTTTGTGCATCTGTTAGCAAGATGCATCCTCAGGTATCAGAAAAGCATAAAAGAGGTTAGTTTTGGAGTCTTAAAATGCTTAAAATTTTTTCCATATAAATTAATCATAACTGCTTATTGGCTTTACACCATTTCAGCTTACAAAAGGTTTCCCAGGACACTCTACCTATAGATAAGCAGGGAAAACCTGCAACAATCTTAATTCTATCATTCCCAAACACAGTGATTGGTGCCTTCTCTGGATAAATATTTAAAGATAATTAAAGAAGACTGAGTACAAATGATTAGCATGCCCAGGGGCACACCTATTTTGGCGTGATTTCTGTGAACAGCAGCTGAGTGATGAGAAAGCAGGACTTAGAGACTCTTGGGAGAGATGACGCTAGTGAGGCAGGAACAGCTGACAAGAAGAGAAATGTCAAGACAAGAACTTGTCTTAGGGAAAACACTCTACAAGACAAGACTATCCACATGAAGGATGAACTGGAGTGAAAAGAAAAAAAGAACAGGGTGGATATTCTAGGGCATAGGTGAACCTGGGCTACAGAGAGAAAGGAAAAGAACAAACATTAGTAGAATTTTTAAATTGTCTTTACATTTATTTTATTCACAACAGAATTTGTGAATTCACAGAATTTATGACATTCATTTTATACTCTAGTCTTTTCTAAGCTAAACAATACTCTTCTTATAGCATTTAAAAATCACTCTCTGGATCCTATAAAATCTCTTTTTAAAATGGAGATACAGAGTAGAGAATACTAAATCAGTGTTTTACAAAAGGGTGGATACACATCTTCAATTTTCTTTCTTATGGTGACGTTACCCTTTGTTTTCCTTTTCCCTACAAAAGCACCTTGGTCTGACTTTTTGGGTAGTACATTTTTACCTGGTAAGATATAACCAATATATTATGAAACATTCAGCATCAAGCAAAGTGATTATTTTTACTCTAGATATTTTACCATCTCTGGTACAATGTTACCAAATAAGGATGTTACAGATAAGACATAGCACAGGTGATAAGCCTAAAGAATTCTTGCCTCTTGATTGGCTGTATTCAGCTTGTCTTCCAGCTCCTCCTTCAGGTTTTCCAGCATTCGTTGAAGTTGATTTTTATCCTCTTCCAGGTTTAGTTTCTCCTTTTTATATTGTTCCTCCAATTCCTTAGGAAAATACATTGTTAACAATTAACAAAATTGCAAATATTGTATACTTCATAGGCTTCAAGAAAAAGACTACTATTCTGTTTTATATTTTGATACTTTGCTCTTCAAATTAGCCTTATTGTTAATTAATAATATTGGAGTTATTAGTCAACCTAATTAATTGTAAGGGCTTAGATTCTATCATTCTGAATCATTTATGATGTGGTTAAATAATTAGTTTTTAAAAATAACAAGAATATTTGACTGGTCTAGATTAAGCTGAGTCAATAACAGAAATGTGGAAACAAGTGATAATTTGGGGAGATAAAGAAAAATTCTCTTTCTTGAATACAGAATTCTTTTATATTTATATAAAAAAAACAAAACCCAGTAATATTTCTGGAACATGGGAACATAATCAAGAATTACCAAGTACAAAATTAAGGCATCTAAAGAAACAATGCCAGTAAAACTCATACTTACTGAAGAACACTACTATCTGGCATACCACTTGGGATGTATACTTGGGAAACACAGTTATTAACACATGGAGGCCTGCCCTTAATAAGCTCAAGGTAACAAGCAATTAAAGAATATGTGATTAAAATTAAATGTCCATAGGGACTACAGGGGTACATGGATGGAGAACTGGTAAGTTCTAGCTTAGGGAGGAAACCTTCGCAGAGAATGCAATTCCCAAGTAGAGTTTGAAGGAATACACCAGTAAGGAAAGGTGGTGAAGGAAGAGGAAATATGACATGTTGGGCAAAAGAAACCCATGCAAAAAACCATGAAGGTACAAAAAAGCCTGGTATGTTACAAGCAGTTCAAGGGGAAGGTGATAAGAGTAATAAATGGGGTTCTGTGGCACTCCCAAGATAAACTTCCAGTTTGCTGATTTGCTGGGATGACCCACAGGACTCAGAATATTGTTGTCCTCACAGCTATAATTTATTATACAGCAAAAGGATACTAAGCACAATCAGCAAAGGAAAAAGGCATATAGGATGCAAAGTCTACAGGAATCCAGGTACAAGCTTCCAAGAATCCTCTCACACAGGACTCTCCAGCAACTTGTCAATAATGTGAAATGCTGTCTTCTGGGAAAGGTCATGAGAGACTCAGTGCCCAGGATTTTTATTGCGGGCTAATCACGTAGGCATCCCTTGACTAGCATGTGCCAAACATCCAGACTTCATGAATGAAAGTAAATGTTCAGCATAAACCATATTGTTTACATAAACACCCTAAGCTCATGAGCTATTGTTATCAGGGAATGGTGGAAACCTTCCCAAAATTCAAATTCCCAGATACTAGCATGGGACAACCTTGCACCATGCCTTTCTAAGGAAGCCAGCTTTAGGCCTGCAATGGTAACTCTTTTCTGCATGGATTCTCTATATATTCACTTTCAAATGGCGTGTGTAAACTCAAGTTATGAAAGAAAATATAATCCTTTTTGATAACTAAGTTATAAAGAATGGAGAGGTCACCTTTAGGTAAATGTTCTTTAAAAGATAATGTGACATGAGGCACCTAGGTGGCTAAGTCAAGTAAACAGCCGACTTCAGCTCAGGTCATGACCTCACAGCTCATGAGTTCAAGCCCTGATCAGACTCTGTGCTGACAGCTCACAGCCTGGAGCCTGCTTCAGATTCTGTGTCTCCGTCTCTATCTTCCCTCCCCTGCTCATACTCTGTCTCTGTTTCTCAAAAATAAACATTTAAAAAATAATAGTAAAAAATAATTTAAATAATTCTAAAAGGAGGCTGGTTTGAGGTTAGGCTCAGACATGAGCTAGCTAGGCAAGAGAGGAATGAAACAGCAAGTGATAAGTTATTTTGAGAAAAGAGAAGGGTATAGATAAAGCTGTCATGAGTTTTAACTACATTCACATAAGGAAATTCATGTCTTGTGTTTTATAGCAACCACATTTTAAAAAAAGACTGCAAGAAATGTAAGTAGCTTAAAGCAGATTTTTAGGTGGCTCAGAAATTGAAATTCAGTGGGCAAGGGTATAATTAGGAGAGAAAGTAATGAGGCAAAAATGATATTGATGAAAGATGCCTAGATTCTAGCACTTAGAAATATAGAGGAATAAAGAGAGGCAAAAAGCAGAACACCTGCAAGTTAAATATCACAATAAGAGAGGAGAAGGCTAAGGTGAACAAGGGATGTAGAAAGGAAAAAGCAGCAACAAAAAACAGCTATGGAAAAGCTTACAGAAGCAGCACTTACCACTGGATACTTCACTGTAAACCCCTGAACAACTGACACACACATATTGAGTCAGTAAGCAAGCACATGTACCACGTAATTAAAGCCGTACAAATTCCTTCTGGAATAGTGAGCTGGCACAGAGAAAATGACAACCACAATTTTGAGAAATAATGTGTCATTAAGTTGGTCTCCAGCTACATAAACACATAGTAGTAAGTTTAGACAGAAATAACATTCTAACAGGAAGTTTTATTTGAATTTTTAATCAAGTTCAAGTATTGAATTTTTTTCCAACTAGTTGTGTCACAAAAGGAAGAGACATAGAGGCAAAGTCCTCAATTCATATCCCACTTCTTCTATATACTAGGTTGGTGGCACCAAATAAGTCATTTAGGTTTATTTAACCTATTTCACCATCTGTATAATAAAAATGACATTAATCCAAGTCTTAAGTGATCAAGAATATACAAGAAAGCTCTTAGTAAACTGTAAAATGCTATTATATAAAACATACAACAACCATCATTGATATATGCCTTTATGTGGTGGTTAAATGCCTTAGAGTTTGACATCTGAAACCTGAGTTCAAGATCTGACTGATTCTTACTAGCTGCATGTGTTTGAAGAAGTGTTTAACTTCTCTGTCCTCCATCTCCTCTTCTGTAAAGTGGGTGCAGAAATTAAACCTATGAGTGTGGCAGGGATTAAGTAAAAAAACAGATGGAAAACACTACTGCAGCACCTGACACACTGCAAGAAATACTAAAAACTAACATTTTTTTATCACTGTATGCTGGGCCATGTCTGAATTCTTAACATTTTATCTCACTTAGCCCTCAAAGGAACATTACAAGATGGATCTTCTCTTCATCTGTCACATGAGGATAGGCATAGCTTTTGAGGCCCAAGATTAGGCAGATAGTAAGCAAGGAGCTCAGTGAAGGCCCAGGTCTGCCAGACACCTTGTTTTTTCTTCTCTATCTCAAGAAGAGACAGTTCAAGATCAAGAGAGTCCTTCTACCGTGGCTCATACAAAGTAGGAATGCCTCCTATCAATTTATACACAGGAGATGTCAAGAATTTTTAAGTATATTACTCTCTGAATCATGATTTGCAGAGTAGATTATAAGACAGCAGCCATAAGAAGAAGCAACTCATTACTCTACAATATGGGTCATGCTGGATCATGACAGAAACCCCTCCAGTTCATGATGCAATGCTAGGTTGATTTTTTACTCACCACTTGAAGTTTTTTCTTATCTCTAATTGCATTACTGTGGACAGCCTCAATTGCCATGTGGTGCTTCCAAGCTAATTCTTCCAAAGTCTTAGAATGAGCCTCATTTAATTGGGCCACCTCCCCTTCCAATCTATTTTGCAGGTTTTTTAGCTCCATCTCATAATATTCTTGCTGAGTTTTCTTTGCTTCATTTACTCTCTAAAATTAAGGCAAATAAAGATCAATAATTACATCTGCTTTTTTCATTACTGCTATTAGTATTCTGAATACTCAATAAATACATAAATTTGAATGAACTGAGTACTACGGGATTTAGACTTTGGACATAAGATTACATCATTGGTGTTCTCAGAAAATGACAGGGTAGCACAGACAAAACAAATAACTTTAACATAAGTAATAAAACAGGCTATTATTAGGTTAGAACAAAGTATGAGTTAGCACATCTGTGAGCTTAAGAGAGAAGGGCTTCTTGTATGTCAAAGCTATACACAAAATGGCTAACCAATTTACCCACTCAGATGATATTATTCATACAATTTCACTGAGTGACAATTACATGCCTTTTAAGCAATCAGTCTGGAAAAAAGGCAAAAGACAATGGCGATATAATTCTATACATTCTGTGAAAGGAGTCTACATCACACATTGTAAGCGTATACAGGAAAGGAGCCTAACCTGGATGGGGTGAGAAAGGTAGGTGTGTGTGTGTGTGTGTGTGTGTGTGTGAGAGAGAGAGAGAGAGAGAGAGAGAGAGAGAGACATACATACATACATACATACATCAGGGAAGGCTTTCCAGAAGAGAAAACATCTGAGCTGCTGATGATACATTCTCTCATTTAATTCTCACAAGCCCATCAGGAAATGAAAGAGGAGAAAATTTCAAACCTAGATATGATGTCAAAAACTTGCATTCAAAACCATTTCCAGCATTTTGAAAATTGAGTGGTAGTCAGCCAGGTGATGAAGTTAGAGTAAGATAGGAAGACCATATAGCTGAGAGGTGTGGATGGAACAACAGATACGAGGCAGACAGAGTGGCAAGGAATGAGGCTCAAAAGGGAGCATGAATCAAATGATGAAAAAGGGTCTTTTATGCTAAGGACTCAGTTTTATTCTGACAGGAATTCTGCAATTTATGTAACTGACATATTTTTAACAACAGTCATGTTAGCAGTAGGCTAGTGAGTTAACCGAGGCAGGGAGAGCACTTAGAAAGCTGTGAGTGAAATCCAGGCAACAATGATCTAAATCTAAACCTAGAATCCCTAAAAGGTATGAAGGGAGATGATGGAATAAAGATACATTAAGGGAGCAGAAAGCCAATAGCACTCAGGAACAAGTAAGCAGGTAATCAATAATGACTGATTTACCAAGCTAGACAGACAGCAGTGCTATTGGTTGAAAAAAGGAGTAAAAAAAAAAAAAAAGTATTTTGGAGGGGAGAAAGTTCTAGGCATACTGATTTGACATGTTTGTGAGAAACCAACATATCTTGTGGGAGTCAGACACACAGGACACAAGTTTAGGGAAAAGGTGGGGCCTAGACCAACAGATTTGGGAGGGATCACTTAACAAGTGACAGCTGATGTTACCAGAATGGATAAGTGTACAGAATGAGTTGAAAATGCTGGGGAACATCAATGGTAAGGGAACAGACAGGGAAGGAAAGCTCACAAACAAGACCACAAGGCCAAGGAGACAGGAGGAAAATGTGGGAGAACATGAAATACCAAAAGAAAAATGTAAATCAGAGAGAAATAAGTAGCACTGATAGATGAAATTCACCAAGTCCAGCAACCAGGATGTCACCAGAGGCTGGGGCAAACACTCATTCTGTGGAGTGGTGGTAAGAGAAGCCACATGGCACTCAGGCAAGGAATGAATGGGAGGTGAGCAATGGGCAAGGAGAACAGAACTATTTTTAACATGGCTGGTTGCTGAGGGAAAGAAAGTGTCCAAAACTCCCACTTGATATTGTAAATATATGAAAAACTGCAATAAACATTCAGTAATTACTCTGCAAACGGTAGGTCTTATTTTTTTAATCTAGAAATTTAATATGTTGGTATATGAATTTTCAGAGCTCAATACTTGCCAAAAGAAATTTCCTACGTGTATATGCAATAATACAGTTCATCAGTACAAAGTCATATGATCAACCACAAATGTATATTCCGCTGAAATAAGAGTTTATTCAGATTCTGGTTGAAATACATTGAAATGTCTTAAGTTCTTACGTTATAAATTGTTAACAATATTTTGAATACATACACAGTAGAGGATAGTCCAGCTTAATACCTTTTTTCCTCAAAATAAAAACAAAAACTTACTAGAATTAAGAAAGGGACTATTATTGGAGTGCCTGGGTGGCTTAGTTGGTTAAGCGTCCGACTCTTGATTTTAGTCAGGTCATGATCGCAGTTTCGTGAGTTTCAGCCCCATGTCAGCTGCTTGGGATTCTCTCTCTTCCTCTCTCTACCCACCTCCCCAACTCTGTCTCTCTCAAAATAAATAAACATTAAAAAAAAAAAAAAGAAACGGACTTACTGTGAAGCAGAAGTAAACACTTTAAATCAAATCTGAAAAAGAGGAAAACTGAACTTTTTTTCTTTTCCTTTTTTTGGCTGTGTGTGTGTGTGTGTGTCGGGGGGGGAGTTAACTCTACTGCTTTTTACCTTCTCCAGTTCCAAAATCTGCTGCTTCTGTTCTTCATCCAGACTCTGAGTTTTGCTTTGCAAAAAAGCTCGCTCTTCTTCAAGCTGAGACAATCTCTCATTGGCCCTTGATTTTTCTGATTCTAGATCTTTAATTGTAACCTCCTGGGTCATTTGAGTCGCTTGAAGCATTCCAATATGACCTACACCCCAAAAAGAAAAGCTGTGCAATTTAAAATTTGTTGCACTGTGGTGTAAAAGTTTATATTTAATGACACAAGTGTACTTAATACCTGAGTGAAATAAATAGTCTGCATGTACAAATAGTACTTCGGTTTCTTCACTGTATAAAATGGAAATATGTACCATGAGAATGCTTCTTATGCAAGTAGAATAATTTAAACTAGGAAAAAGTCTATTTTCACATCACTGCATCACTGATGTTGCTCCGTTTTTTTTTTTGTTTTTTTTTTTTTAAGACTGCAAACTAAACAAGTTGAAGTAGAAGCAACTCAGGGAGGCATGTAAAAGCCTTGAGAGTCAAACAAAGACGATGCGCTGACTAATACGACAGTGCCAAAATTAGTAATTTGTTCTTTGCTAATCTCTTCTTTATTCAAATTCTCATATCATGAGAAAGAAATTTGTATACAGGGAGTAAATATGGTAGTCAGTGGTTTGGTTGAAACTGAATTTGTTTTAGACAAGAAACCTGATAAAGAACTAAGATGGATTAAGTGATAGATAAGGACAGCAAGGTTATCAAAGAATAAATAAATGACACCAAAAAGGGGGGAGGGGCAATAAGAGAGACAGAGAGATGAAAAACAAGCATGAAGAAAAGGTCTCAGAAAGCACACATTAGGGCAGTGGTTCTCAAAGTGGTTCCCAGCAGACCTGGGAACTCTAGCCGGCAGCGAAGGTCATCCCAGACCGGCTGAATCAGAAGCTCTGAGGCTGGAGCCCCGCATCTGTGATTGTACAAGCCCTCTGGGTGATTTTCATACATGCTAAAGTTGAAAAACTACTACTTTTTGGAAAGATCATCTGGGAATTCACAGATGAGCCAATCAAATCAAATGGCATTCTCAAAGAACTACTTCAAATGGCTTCACCTGGCACACTAGGCACTTGGGCAAAATGTTACTTCAGAACTGACATGAATCACCCACCTTCTCTAGTATGGGTTATGAAATGAGAACATTAGCCACATTAGAATGGGCAACTCAGCTTTAGTACGTAAAATGATCCTTATTAATAAGCCAAATGAACTGAGGCACTATAATTCATATATAGTTCCACTAATTTAAATACTTTAAAACATATTTTTTTAAGAACAAAAAGCTTCTTAGAATGCTTCATTGCTTTTAGTGAATGATTTATTGGTGCTAAAACACCTGTTAACTCTTAATTTTTGAATAAAATATATTCTTAAAAATAAGTTATTATGTGCTTATCTTATGATTAAGAAGAAATTAGAGTCCTTTAAAATATTTAGAATCTATATAATGTTAAAGCATGAGAAAAGAAGGCAAATTTTGTCTTGAATTAATATTTTAGTGTTGGTTTTAGCTAAGGAATATACCAAGAACTGTGGTCACACATACTAGCTTTGAGGACAAGGTCTGAAGCTTGTTGTTGTAAACATTCTCTGGCTGCTGCTAGCTCACTTTCCACTTCCTTGTGCTTGCTTAGTAAGTCCATCTCTCCCTCCTTGGCATCATCAAGCTGTTTTTGAAGAACCTAAGAATGATCAAATAGCCATTATGAATATGCAAGGATGATGCTGAGCTAATTAGCTAAGCTAATGATGCTAATTCACTTAAATTAGAAGCAGCAACTTTCTCTTATTCAAAAGTCACAGTTAATAATACCTAGTTTTAAATGTTTTGATTAACACTTACAACTTATCTTCATAAAGCATATGACCCAATCACAAAAGGCCGCTCAGCCTTTTTTAATCCACTCAAATGCTGAACAGATATTAAAAACAGCTATGAAATGTTCTATACCAATAAAACAAAATTTGTAGAGACTTCTTGGCTTTTTTTCAAACATGTGCCATATCTCTATTTAATTCAGGTTTATAAAACAATTTTTTGATCATTGTGCAGACCATTATTAATGAAGGTAAAGGAGAAAACATAATTAAAACTAAAGCCCAATAATTTAACTCTCCCAAATCGCTTGTGAAAAATATTAACACGTTATTTTGATAGAATCCTTTCATTATGAGTAAGGTTTTAAGTTATCTTTATGGGCCTTTAATATCTGAATTTCTAGTAGTAAATAATAACTACAGAGTAGTAAAAATTACTCCCTTATTGATTTTTCTCACAAAGGAAAAGAAGAAAGCAAAATGGGAAAAAAAAGTTAAAGTCATCTAATAGAAAAGAAAATGGCAAAACTGGGGGGGGGGGCAGGGATATCCATATGTTGAAGAGAGAGTCCTTACTTACCTGAACATTGTTCTCAGCTGTAACAAGTGCTATCTGAAGCTTTTGGCATTTGTCCCGAAGACTTCCAGCTTCATCCTGTACCATCTGTAACTCTGTCTTTAATTTTCCTATGGTTTTTCTTAAAATTGCTTCTTGTCCCTGAAATTCTTTCCTAAGATCAGCTTCCTTTTCTTTGCTAGCCTGGAGGCTTTCTGCTGTAAAAAGCTGTGACCTTTTCAAAGTATCAAGCTCATGCTCATAAAAGGACTGAGCTTTATTCAACTTGCCTTCATAATCCTCAATTAGCTTTTTCCGTTCAAGTCTTAGCTCTTCCAGTGTTTTGTTTAAAGTCTCCACCTCCACCCTGTGCAGTTCTTCTGCCTTCTCCTGTCCTTTACTCACTGAGGCACTGTGATCTTGCTGTGACTTCAGCAGCTCTTGGATCTCCCGTCGATGAGCGGTTCGCAAATCTTCCAATGCCAACCGTTTGTCTTTTTCAAACTGTACTTGGAGTTGCCCAAAACTCCGTAATCTTTCCTCAAATTTCCTTCTGATCTCTTCAACTTCTCTAGACATGGTTACTATGCGTTGGACATGCTGGGCTTCTGCACAAAGTTGCATGTCTTCGACTCTGTGCTTATACGCTTCAAATTCTGTCAAAGCCTGCTGCTTCATTTTTATGTGGTCTTCTAATGATGCTTCTAAAACCTGAATCTTCCTCCTCAGGTCTACCTCCTCTGTTACTTTGCTTTTATACTGCAATATTTTTTCTCTTGTTTCTGCAAGAATCTGTTGGATTTCTTCTTCATGAGCATCTTTCAGGGCCTGAATTGCAGATTCATGCTCATCATTTTTAGTATTCAAAGCATATATTACCTGCATAGTTTTAAAAAAGGGAAAGAATTCAGCAAACCATGTTCTTTTCTTACTGGAAGTAAGTAAGTACTGGAAGTGCTTGGTCATTTGGATTGATAGTTTTCAACACACAAAATTGGGTATGGTAAATACTAAGTACTGAAGCTTCATTCATGCATTGTTTTCGATTCATAGATTGATTTACTTAGCCAAGTTTTACCTTAGCACAACTTAAAAGTTGCATCTGCAGGCTCTCCTACAAATGAAACAGTGAGGAGAAGAGAGACAAAGGAGGCCTAGAAGGAGTTTTCCATAGGCCCAGTCTAGTCTGGGGTGAGGATCAGCAGGAAAGCCTCAGTGTATCTGCCCTGCTCTAGTGCTCTGCAGGAGTGGAAGTTCTAGGCCCTAAGTCTTCTTAAAGGCTCTCTCATCTGACTAATATCTGGTATGTTCTAAGTTTAGAAGTTTCCTTTTCTAATTCTCCTATGGTTGGTTTTTAAAGCTGATCCTCTTCTCTCCAAGTTCCTGTGGTCTCCTTACAAACTCCAGTTAGTACTTTTCTGCTCACATATCAAACACTATAGTTTTATTCATTGCCTAATTTTCCCTCTGCATCCAGGCAAGCCAGGTTTCCAGAGGCAGAGTATCCTGGCCACAGGTCTTTACTTTCATTTTAGTCCTTGGATTTTAATGATTCCATTGAGATTTCCCAAACTTTAATACAAACGACAACATACTCCCTTTATATTGATGCTCCTATTCTTGTATGTCCTTTGATACCCTCCAAAATACCACTGTGACCAAACAGTACAATATTCATGACTATTACTTTAGGCTTACAGATGCACCCACTTTCTTCTAAAGTAAAAATAAATGAACACTATATAATCCAACAATCTAGAAGCTAAAAAACAAAACAACAACAAAAAACCCAATCCAGTGTCCTGGAGCTTTGCTCATTTTAATGTGATCTTATTCTGGCTTTACAAATGGATTCTAGCCCCAAAAGCCAGAAACTGCAATTAAGATGCAAAAGTGTTGCAATTTTTGTAGAGAACTGGTTTATGCAGCCTAAGGCAACAGAGACAAACTACCTGGTTCTTCACAGATCCTGGTGATGCCAGATCCTATTGCTAAATCTAGGTGATCACCTGCTAGGCCTGCAGCTATATTTGTGGAAGGAGAAGACACATTGGAAGCTTACTCCACTGCAGGGGCAGGGGCTTCACTCTCTCCACACAGGGCTTTGTCTTCCAGAATCAGTCCCCTATTCATATTCTCACTTGGTCTGCTCTATTTAGAGATGTAATCATAGCAAAGGAAAAACGACTGAGAGATGGCAGAACCCCATTTGTTTTGCCAGCTACTTCACCTGCTAACTACCTCCAAAGGAAAACATGTGCAGAGAAGGGAAATAAATGCTTATTTCCAGTTTCTCTTTTTTCAAATAACCCTAATTCCAAATCCCAGGTTATGTCCCTAATGAGCTAGACAAGATCTGCATAGAGGACTCCTTTCATTTACACATTTAAGCTTAAAGGTATCCTATAACCCAAGAAAGTTGGTGGACTCCTACAACCTTCCCCCAGGATCTTAACTACCCATCATGTTGATGCCCAGAAAAGACTAGAAGAGGCACTAAGAGGAAAAAAATGCCAACTAGCTGGAGAGAAGTCCATTTGCTAGAGTGTTCAGAGTAGAGCTGGTGTGGGCCACAGGCCTCAGACCTTCCCAGGCAGTCTGTACAGATCCTCTAACTATCTTACTAAGCACATGGAAGGAAAAGAGATAATACAAAGAGATGGAATCTCTAGAGAAAAATAAGTAACACACTTTTCATCATTTTATCCCAGGAAATGATCTTGAAAAGGACCACTTCATGGTGGGATTCCATATAATCAGGGATGAAACAATATGGAAGATGTGAGTTTCCCTTTGTCAACAATTCATTGAAATACTCTTCTCTTTTTTTTAATACTTCATCTTCCTGTAGTCTCTACAGCATCAGCTCAAGACCTGTATCCTTTAATAAGTCTTCCAGGACCACCCAAATCTATGGGAGTCTATCTGTTCTTTACATCCAGTACCTTCATTTCCTTACCACTATTCATTCCTGTAACTCAGTAAATGTTCAATGGATTAAATTTGGGGGTCTTGACAACAATTTTGGCAAGCTGGGTGAGGATGTTAGAGAGTCTTGAAAAGTAGCTGAAGATATAAAAGAAGAGTAGCATACAAAAATCTGGATTAAAAGGTGAAATTAAAGGGGGCAGAGGTAGAGATTAAAGCATTAAGTTAAAAAGAACAGAATTTAAATACATAAAACATTTGACAAATAATAGATAAATATGGTGAGGAGCTCTATTTCACTTGATATTCCATTCCAGAGGTTGGCAAACTATGGCCTATAGGCCCAATATGGCTGCGGCTAGTCTTTGTAAATAGTTTTACTGGACAACTGCTATGCCCCTTTGTGTATGTATAGTGTACAGCTGCTTTCCCACTACAACAACAAAGTTGAGTAGCTGTGGGAGAGACCTTACTAGTGACTCCTGTTGTGATGTACACTTGACAAGCTATCTTATCGGCCAAAGTTGGCAGCCCAAAATAAAAAATATCTGAATTTGCACTAGCTTTGTTTACCTTCTAATAAATAACCCAGGGTTCTTACCACTACAACTTCTTAAAACATTAAGAGAACCAGGGGCGCCTGGGTGGCTCAGCGGGTTAAGCGTCTGACTTTAGCTCAGGTCATGATCTCACAGTTCGTGTGTTTGAGCCCCGCACTGCGCTGTGTGCTGACAGCTAGCTCAGAGCCTGGAGCCTCTTTCAGATTCTGTGTCTCCCTCTCTTTCTGACACTCCCCTGCTCATGCTGTCTCTCCCTCTCTCTCTCAGAAATAAATAAAACATTAAAAAAATTTAAAAAACATTAAGAGAACCAATTACTTGATTCTAAAGGTATATATATGAAATACAATATTATACTGGCCATATAATAGTATCTTCCAGGACAGCAATGTTAAAGTGTCTAAAAACTTAAAAAAAAAACAGCATTAACAAATTAAGAGTGCTTTTAAATAACCATTTAAAATACACCACTATAAATGAGAATATATGTGAATTTTCAACTTGACATTAAGATGTAGTATCCTCTTAACTGTTCACTTTTCTACATAATTACAAAGGTAACCATTTTAAAGTATTTTTCTCTGATTAACTACTATTTAACAGACCAAAGAAATATAAATGTTCTATGTTCTTTGAACACACAGAAAATATGACTTGAAGTAACAGAATTGACCCAAACTAGATTTCTCATTGTAGATAAAATAACTTAATTTCTCCAAGCCTCAAGTTTCTCAATATTAAATAGAGATCATATTTATTCTACCCTAATGATATCACTGTTATAAGATCAACCTAACATTGACATTTAAAATGATATTTATAAATATTTTTCAAAAAATATAAAGCACTATAAGATGGTAAGGCTTTTTTATTCATTGTATCATTTATTTATGGAGAAAATGAGAATAACTTTAAAAACTTGTTTTGAACATTCATTCTTTTGTTGTTGTTTTTTGAGAGACAGAGAGAGCACAAGTGGGAGTGGGGCGGAGAGAGAGAGGGAGACACAGAATCAAAAGCAGGCTCCAGGCTCTGAGCTGTCAGCACAGAGCCCAACACAGGGCTTGAATTCACGAACCATGAGATCATGACCTGAGCCGAAGTCAGACACTTAAACTGACTGAGCCACCCAGTCACCCCAAGAATGAGAAAACTTTAAAAGAAACTTTGGTAAGTGATTATAATCACTTATAAAATTAGCTATTATTTTCCACATGGGAAAAGGAAATTCTCTAATATCTCTTTTCACAAAGTATTTTCAAAGACATTAAGAGCTATTTGCAGTTTTTCTGGGACTATGAGCACTCAGAGAATGGGATAGCACAATCATTACAGCAATTTCATGTAATTTTACAGCTCCAGCTTATGCCAACAATGCATGATTTAACTACATATTCCAGGATGAATAAGGAATAGTACTTTTTACTTTTTCTATGAAGACTTTCAAATAATCTTATCCACTGATAAAATGAGAACAAGTCTAGATCCTAGTTTTTAAAATGCTATTTAGGTAACAACAAGTAGTTTCTTAAATCATTCTCATTGTTGGCTGCTATGGACTATATTGTGTCCCTCTTATTCCTCCAACAAAATTTATCTAACTGAAGCCCTAACTGCCAATATGATGGTATTTGAAGATGGGGCCTTTGGGAGATAATTAAGTTTAGACATGATCATGAGGGTGGCGCCCTCATGATGGGATCAATGTCTATATAAGAGACTCCAGAGAGCTTGCTTCCTAGCTCTCTTTTAGCTATGGGAAGATACAGTGGGAACATCTATGGTACTTTCTTATGGCAGACTGAACTAATGCACTGGCAGTATAAAAATACATTCCCATTAAAACCTAGCTCATTAGCAATAAAGTACTAATTGAAAAGTATGTGTGTATTAGCTTAAAATATGTTAAGCTAAATTGCTGCATATTATACCACCAGTTTTAGCAATGTTAAAGTAAGGGAATCACTGAAAAAATGATGGTAAATTCATACAATGTAATATCATGAAACCATTGAAAAGCACATCTCTTTTAGGAGAATACTTCATAATATAAGAAAAATGTTGAAAGAGAAGGTAAACACACAATGCTATATCAACAAGATCCAATCTTTCAGAGAGACAAATGTTAGTGTACATGTGTGTATGATACATATTGAAGGTATGTGAAGAAATAAACCAAATTTTAACTGGGCATATTCAGTATTTCTAAACCTTTTATAATGAATGTATGTTACTATTACAGTCAGAAAATATTAAATCCTTTTAAAAGATTAACATTAATAAACTTTTAAAAAGAATACTCAAAATGCCTTCATTTTAGAAAAAAGTATCAAAATGCAAAAAGAAAATTAAAGGAACATTCATTGATTACCAACAGACACCCTGAAAGTT